CGGAGAATGTTATTTCAGATTTTTGTATCACAAGCAACTCGAAGGTGATCATATTAGCTGCTGGTGCTAGACAAATGAAGGGTGAATCACGCTTGGACCTGGTACAACGAAATTCAGAGATTCTGAAAAGCATAATACCAACTCTGGTTGGTTACAGTCCAAACGCTGTGATCCTGGTCGTCAGTAATCCAGGTTGAAGAGAGGGAAAAGATTTGTTGGAAAATGTTGGAACGCTCGAGAAGAGATTCGACGTGTGAATAAGAATTCTGGAGACGAGTTAATCGAAAAATTGAAAAATTCTCGGGAATCTGGATCTCTCGTTATCCGAAATTTCTACTCAACTCGATCCGAACCGACATTTTCTCGCACGCATCCAACCCCCCCGAAACGACCGTTCAAAATCAATTGTTGCTTGCGCAGTTGACATTTTATCGTGGTTAACGTGGAAAATAAGCGGATTACCAGCAAGTCGAATAATCGGAACTGGGACTCACGTCGATTCGTCGAGGTTTCGTTTCTTAATCGCAGATCGTTTAGGAATAGCGCCTAGCTCGGTCCACGCCACTATTATCGGCGAGCACGGGGACAGTCAGGGTGAGTTCGAAACCTGCCACGCCTAAATTTACCATAAATTTCGAAATTTCGGCCATCTAATTTTACCCATCCGGGTGGGGACGAGACCGATCCGTATCCGTTTAAATCCGTTTCACGTTTCCTAGTTCCACTCTGGTCTGGAGTGAATGTCGCGGGTGTACAGTTTCGCGACATTTTGCCCAATATCGGCCTCGAGACCGACGAGGAAAGATGGTACGAACTTTCCAAAGAGGTGGTCAGACTGTGAGTGTATATGTCTCTCTACTCTTCCCCCCGAAATTGCACGAAAGCTTCGAGTCCAAACGATCACAATAATAATAATTTTGCTTTCCTCTCGCGGTTTCAGTGGACCCACCGTTAGATGTCTAAAGGGATACACCAATACGACAATTGGACTCGCTGCTGCCGACATCGTGCGAGCTATTCTCAACAACACGCAGAGAGTTATACCAGTTTCAACCTTGATTCAGGTATAGATAAATTGATTTTTCTCTCTCGAGACTCTCAAGATATAAATATATATATATAGTTTCTCTCTAATATCGAATGAAACGAATATCGTTTTTCTTTAGGGTCATCACGAAGTTTGTCACGAAATGTTCTTATCTCTACCTTGTAGCGTCGGTGAACAGGGAATCACGAATATCGTACGGATGCGTATCACAGAATACGAAAAGAAATTATTTCAGACATCGGCTAATGTTGTGTTCAATGTTCAAAAGGGTATTAAAGCTGTATGATTTATCTTTTTAATAATATGTGAATATCGTTCAATTGTATGCATTTTTTTTGTAAAAAGTATCGTTCAATATATCACGTCTCGTAGCGCTTACGCTGTGTTCTTCTTTCGACTATTGCTAGGTTATCGATCGGCTCCCGTCCGTTATTTCGAGGAAAAAAAAAAAAAAAAAATAAAAATAGAAAATTATCCATCACTTCTCCGAACTAATTCGTCCTGTCGTTTCGAAACACGAGGCAAACACGTGCGTAAACGTCTATCCACGTCGCGTTTTTTTCCATCTCTCTCTCTCTCTCTTCGAACGTGATATTTCTCGAGAAGATCGAAAATGATCGATTGATCGATACGTTGGAACAAAAATTGGCGAAGCATTTTTTCCGATCGAAGAATCGAGGAGTAACAGGAAGATTGGATGGGTGTGTTTCTCTTGCGATGCGCGGAAAAAAAAGGCGATGGATGACCGGTGGATGGTATCAGAAGGTCGCTATTCCGCCGCAGGCTAGGCCACGGCAAGGTGAGAGAGGAGTATCGGAATCGGCCGCGAGATGTCGCGGTGAAATGCTCGCGGAGCAAGGCGAGCCGCGGTGTTACGGCATTCGAACGGCGACAGTGCCGTAAAAACATCGTTTTCTTTTTCGAGGAACACAGATTATCTCGATTATCCAACTTTCCGACGAATAGAATCGTGGCCAAAAATTTCGAGAATCGTCCTTGCGTTCGAAGAACGAAGGGATGGCGAGGATGAAATCAGCGATGTCTCTCTTATATAAAAGCGTAGAGCGAACGAGTCGACGAAGCTGGCCAAGATCGTGGAAATAGCCGAGCCACGGTGTTGATGTCGAGCGAAGAAGCGAACAGAAGCCAGGCCAGAAACGCTCTCCTTTTACTTGGTTCGAAAGCAGATCCATTCGAAAGGCGAGGCGTGTCATCGATTTTTAAAGAATTCTTCGCGTTCGCGATCGTACACGGAAATTCGCTCGATACGGTTTCGAAAGCGCGTCTCCAGAAATTCGTTGTAACCAGGAAAATATTTTACGAACGATCAAAATATTCGAATTTTAATCGAAACGATCGAAAGAGAAAGAAAAGCGAAAAAAAAAAACGCGAAGAAAATCGGTACGAGCCGATTAATATTATTGGTAACGCGTCATACATCGCAAGAAATTTTCCGATTAATTTACGTCAATGGTAAAAGTCCGATATATTATTGGAGCAAATAGGTCGATTAAAGCGAAGGAAATGGTAATGAAAGATTGAAAAAGTGGGAGGGGAGAGAAAAGAAAAAAAAAAAAAAAAAAGAAAAAAAAGTAAGTATTCCGATAGGATGGGTAAAAGTGGAAGGTTATCGGACAGGCGTAGACGGCACTGAGGCCCAGGTGGAGGTGGTAGCCGGGCCCCATTCTCTGTTGGTCCTGTCGTCTGTCAGTGGAGCTCAGTCAGCAGACAGTCGGTCCGTCCGGTCAGCTGGTCCCGTCCAATCGTGTTAAAAGCTACCCGATGGTAAGCCGAAGGCGAAACACCCGATAGAACCCGGGTCAATCGAGCCTCGATCGTCAAGGATCGTTGAAAGAAAACGGCGGCCCGCGCGCCGCATGTGCGCGAGTGTAAAAACTTCTCCACCGGAAACACCAACGACACGGTGCGAGGTGCCAACTAAATCGAACGGCAGAGGAACACGGAGTGGCGGAGGGAAACGAAGGAAGAGGATAGAAACGCGACGGGGACGGTGTACACCTGGTCAGGCAGGAAATGACTATATCGTACGCGAGCGAAGTGCCAAATGGCTCCAGCTTCGGCTGCTTCTGGAGGATCTTGGTCAAGTGAGTCTTTTTTCTCTCTTCCTCCTCCTCCTCCTCCTCCTCCTCTTCTTTCATCGTATCCACGTCATTATTTCGCCACCTCGTCGTCGATTGAATATCGCGCGATAATTTCCCTCGTACGCGATATCGCGATCGATCGCGATCGATCTCGCGACACCGTGACAGGTCGAACGGATCCACCGCCGCCGCCGCCGCCGCCGCTTCCTACACGAGGCCTTAGCAACAAGTTCACGAGGTATAATGGATCGTCCTCTCGAAATTCCGTTCGACACCGGTGGAACACCACTGCTCGCGCTATCCGCACTTTGTCCCTTCGAAACCATTCCCCAAACGGAAAACGCGAGTCGCTCGTCGCGATGTTATCGTCTCGTACCTCGTAGTAGTAATAGTAGTAGTAGTAGTAGTAGTAGTAGTAGTAGTGGTAGTGGTGGTGTAGTAGTAGGAAACACCGCGACGCGCTTACGTTACGAGCGCGATACGCGAAAAGGCGGTGCTCTCACTTTCCTCACGGTGGATTAATTTCACGGTGACCGCGAGAGAGGAGGCGCGCGATCGATCCGCCGTTTTCTTTTTCGCCAAAAAAAAAAAAAAAAGAAGAAGAGAAAAAAATTCTCCTCGCGAAAAGATCGTCCCGCGCGACTCGGATTTTCAGCGTGCGGATCGCGATCGAAACAGAGGTGGTGTATACCTTTGGACACGCGTGCGGCCGAGGCGAGCGTTCCACAAGATACTGGAGCATACGCTTCTAGACAGTTTACATAGTCGGCGTGCCATGTAAGACGAAGATATTGCGATATCGCGACCGGTGGTTCGTTGTGCAACGTTTAACTTTCGACTCGATGTATCGTGTTCTCGATTTAGAGGCTGGCTGGCTGGCTGCATAAGGAGGAGGGAAGAGAGNGAGAGAGAGAGAACGATCGAGTCCTTGGACAAGGATTCTGCAAACGCACGTGCGGAAAACGAGGAAAATCAATAATAATCCAATCTCCTTTTTCTTTTCCCTCTCTCTCATTCGTTCTCTTTCACCAGTTGGATGGTTCGCGGATCGATTCGTAATCTTCACGAGCGCCACGTTAACGTTAAACGAGGTGGTATGGGACGAGACAGAAATTGTCCTGATTTTTTTTCCCTCAGAAAAAACGTACGGTTATATGAATCACAGTAGCGGAGCACGTAAAACCCGCTAGCACAGAAATGGTGCTCGGTCAACGCTTGCCAGTGTACGTTTTAAGGAAATAAGGTCGTCGATACATCGATTTTAGCCGTAACGACGCGCGCATTACGTGGAATATCGCCACGCTGTTCTCTCTACACCTCTGCCATCGAGATTTTCGTTCCAGTTGTCGGTTACATACGAATGAATACCGGTATTCACGGTGGCCAAGTTTCGCGCCTATTTCTCTCTATTATTTATTTTTCTCTCTCGATCTAACGATCGATTTATATATTAAAATCGAATCGTTAAAATCTGTCCTTTTTTTCTCTATTTCTTCCTTTTTATCCATATTTCTCGCGGATTCAACGTTCTTCTATTAAAAAAAAAGAAAAAAACTTGATCGATTTCCGCGTGGAAAAACCATTTAGTTGCGAGAATTTCCTAGGGATATCGATGCTCCTAGAGAGCAGATCGCGCTAAGTTGCACGTTATACAATGATCCTTATGTAAATCTTGGACGGCACGAATCCGTCCGAACGGTTAAATACGGGTTTGTCTAAACGACGTGGCGTGCAGGATTCCGAGAACGGAACAAGGCAGAGGGAATCGGCTGATCGAACGGTATCGACGTAGCAACGCGCATCTCCGAATCCGCCAACACTCGCGAATAAACCGGAACGGAGGAGGGAAGAAGCGCGACGCACGTGTGGAATCACACGACGAGTCGATAAAATCGATTGGTATTCGGAATGCACGGAGAAAAATAAATAATAATTCGTTCCTGTTCGTTCGGAAAGGAAAGGAAAGGCCGGTTATTATTGATCGGAGAGTTATTAATTAAAAAAGAGAAAAAAAAAAAAAAAATGGGATGACGCAAGGCGAATCGCCGCCGCTGCGAATTCCTCGGCCGCGAGTGTTCGTGAAAATGCATAATCTCAGCCAGGATAACGTACGATTTATCGAACGTCCTTGCCGAGACTCGTTTATTGACATTTGCACGACCTTTAGGTGCGGTGTTGGTGGATCCTCCGGTGATAATCTCGGTTTCTCTCAGGACTCGGGCGAGCGCCAACTTGAAAACGGCCTTAACGGCTTTCACGTAAGATCTCGCTTTCCTAAGGCTCGTTACACGCCGCATGGCGCGCGCGCGCGCGCGCTCTGTCCAACAGACTGCGACCGACGACTATACATCTATAAATAACCAACAACTTCCACAAATAGAAAACGCTTTTGTGATAGCACGCGCAACAACGATATCCTCGAGCTGGATACTATACTATAAATTATACACGCTCGATTCGAACAGGAAAAAGTCCCCTTCCGATTCGTTTCCGATTCGATCCCGTGCTTCCGATGCTATGCGATTCGAGCGAATAATAAATATATATATATATATATATATATTTTTCAGCATCCGAGTGTTGGAACGATTTTA